TCGAGCCCGCAGCCTGGGCATGTGCCCTTGACCGGAATCGAACCCAGGACCCTTCAGTCTTCAGGCTGACGCTCTATCCACCGAGCCCAACCAGCTAGGGCCACCCAGGCATGGTTTTGTATCGTGCGTTGGGTCCTTGGAAAATATTGGTTCGCAGACTTACGCCGATCACCCAGATGTTTCCCAGTAACACTGAGACAATGTTGGTTAATATTTTCACCCACCTCACTCGAACAGTATGCCGAGAATTCGGAGATGATTAAGCTCATGAGGGTGACACACGCTTTCTAAAATGTTAATTTCCACCTGAAATAGCAAATGTTAGTCTTGGCCACAGATACACACTGTCAGTAATTTCCTAGGAGTGACAGATCTCATTCACTTCCAAGAAAATGCCTACCCAACACCCAAGTATGAAAATCACCGTCATTTGCCAGTTATTCGTAAAAATGCTATTTTCCTGAGAAAAGTTTTGCCCTTCAGCACCCTGGATGCAAGGTTGATTGTGGAAGAAGATTTTTAGATTCTTTCTAAATCCTTTCTGGGAGCCGCTCTGTTGCAGGGACTTTCTCCCCAGCTCTAGGAAATGCTGTTCCCCGAAAATCAAGGTCAGTGGAAATGGGAGAGGGAGTGCGGAGAGAAGGGGGGGTGGGAACAAAGCCACAGCCGATCCTCAGGGGCCACAGAAGCAGCACGCCCTCAGGGTGCCCGGCTGAGCTCGCGGGTTTGCCTCGAGATCGAGCTTCTTATCTCGTGACCCCTGCAGGGTTCCCCGAGGTCCAGACGGGAAAAAGTGTGCGATGAACGGCACACTGGCGACCATTTAAAGAACCCCGAGCCCTGGCTGGTGGTGATCAGTGGTTAGTGTCGGCCCGCGCATCAAAGGGTCGTGGGTTCGAATTCGTTCAAAGGCACGTTACCTGGGTTGCAGGTTCGATCCCCGGCCCTTGTTGGGGTGCGTGCAGGAGGCAACCCATCGATGTGTCTGTCACATCAATGCTTTTCTCTCTCTCTCTCTCTCTCTCTCTCTCTCCCCCCTCCATCCTTTGCACTCTCTCTAAAAAGCAATGGAGCCCTGGCCTGGTAGCTCAGGTGGTTAGAATTATCGTCCCCGATACCCCAAGGTGGTGGGTTCGATCCCTGGTCAAGGCCCATGCAAGGACCAACCGAGGAATGCATAAGTGGGTAGAACAACAGTCACTCTAAAAAATCAATAAAATAAAAAAAGCAATGGAAAAAATATCCTCGGGTAAGGATTCACTAAAAAAAAAAAGAATGAGGGAAAAAGAAAAGTACTGCATAAAAAAGTATTTCTTCCACCTCAAACACGTGTCAGGGGTCATGACGTCAATCCCCAGGCAAAGGCTTTTGTTTTTCTCTCTCATTTTTTTTTACATATTTTTATTGGTTTCAGAGAGGAAGGGAGAGAGAGATAGAAACATCAGTGATGAGAGAGAATCATGGATCAGCTGCCTCCTGCACGCTCCCTACTAGGGATCGAGCCCACAACCCGGGCATGTGCCCTGACCGGGAATCGAACCTGTGACCTCCTGGTTCATAGGTCGACACTCAACCACCGAGTCATGCTGGCCGGGCAAGAGCTGCCTGGTTTAAAATGCTTCATAATCAAAAATAAAAGTATCTGTTGTCACCGTTAGACCTCCCACTGGGCCTTGTTTTTAACTTTTATTTTTTGGGGGGTGTGGTTTGTTCAGTTATAATCAGATTTTACTATTTTTCTACCTCGGCCTGTAATTAAAACTTAATGAGGAGAGATATATTTTATTTAGTTATTTATGTTTGCAAATCATCAAAGTCAATACAAAACAAAAGCCAGGATAAACAATGCAATTACATGCCAGCTCCGGGGCACTGTAATAATATAAACTCGCCTTTGAAACCGAGGAAACGAACATTGGGGATCTGTTCCCATGATTAAAGATGTAATAAAACAGCTCTGCCGGCGTGGCTCCGAGGTTGAACGTCACCAGGAGGTCACTGTTTGGTGTCCGGGTCGGGGCACGTGCCCGGGGTTGTGGGCTCGATCCCCAGTGTGGGGCGTGCAGGAGGCAGCCGACCCATGATTCTCTCTCATCATTGACGTTTCTCTCTCTCCCTTCCTCTCCCTTCCTTTCTCTCTAAAAAAAAAAAATCAATAAAAAAACCTATTTTAAAAAAAATAGGTCTGCAATTCCCCGGTGGTGAATGGAACAGCAATCTCTTTTAGCCGAGGGAAGAAGAATCTTACCCTTTGGCTACGATGACATCCTTTCTTATAGTTGGTGGTAAGGATGTTGGTGGGAGCTGAGAACAAGAGTGCGGTGCGAGCACCGTGGACAGTTCACGGTGCCTGCTGTCCCAGGCTGGTTGCCTGTGGCTGCCCCAGGCAGGCCATCGGGGCAACTTGTGTCTGCGGGTTCCACTCCCCTTCCGTTCTCTCCGGCCAGCCAGCGTCTTTGCGAGGAAAAGCAAGAGAACCTGAGGGAAATGATCTGTTTTGCAAATCTCAGCTCGATAAAGCCCATGACCGTGAATGTATTGTCTCACAGATACGTTCTTCAGTCTATTTGTATTGACTTCAGAGAGAGGGAGGCAGGGAGGGGGGAGAGGAGAAAGAGAGAGAGAGGGAGAGAGAGAGAGAGAGAGACATCAATGATGAGAGAGAATCATGGGTCGGTTGCCTTCTGCACGCCTCCTACTGGGGATCGAGCCTGCAACCCAGGCATGTGCCCTGACCGGGAATCGAACCTCCTGGTTCATAGGTCGACGCTCAACCACTGAGCCATACCGGCCGGGACTCATTTCACAAATGTAGATATCTTACGGTCTATTTAGAAAGAGCAAACCATGCTACGTATCTCAAAGTATGACGTTGCTTTCTTAAAAGACTGGCACAAAAACATGTGGTGGGGAAAATGAAGTGTAATAACGGGAAGTCACTGGGATTGGGTGAGAGCAAAGGAATATTCCGGCTCTTTAAAAACACACACACAGCGAAAAGAATCTCTGTAAACAGCCCTGCCGTGTGAGCCTTTATGGGTTTCAAGCCCACACTGTTCAGCTTTAATTGCCTTAGTTATGTTTTATTAAGCCAATAACGACCTACAATATTGCACAAAATTATATTCAGATATTAACTCGGCTTCAGACTTCTATCTGTGTGCATTTTATAGGAGATGTGTCACTGTTATTGGGCTCGATTCTTATTTTAGGAAAAAAGCAATTGCCAAAATAATACCAGAATATTAGATAGGGGCTGATTTTCATTTCTCTCTCTCTCTCTCTGTTTTATTAAGACCCAGTGAGAGCATGCCCCCTACTGGGGATCAAGCCCCCAACCCGGGTGTGTACCCCTGACCTGAATCAAACCCAGGACCCTTCGGTCTGCAGGCTGATGCTCTATCCACTGAGCCAAACTGGCTAGGGCTTTCTTTTGTTTAGAATTTACTGTCTCTTTCTTGTTTCCAGCCCACTGTTGGAATTTAGGAGATCATGGAGTACACGCCTCAAAATACTTTTAAAAAACACCCAACAACCCGGCCAGTGTAGCTCAGTGGTTGAGCGCTGCCCAATGAACTAGGAGGTCACGGTTCGATTCCCGGTCAGGGCCCATGCCCGGGTTGCCGGCTCGATCCCCAGTAGGGGGCGTGCAGGAGGCAGCCGGTCAGTGATTCTCGTCATTAATGTTTCTCTCTCTCTCTCTCTCTCTCTCTCTCTCTCTCTCTCCATCTCAATCAATCAATAATATATATATATATATATATATATATATATTTTTAAAAAGCTGGGATGGCTGTGCTGCTCCCAGCTGTTTGCAGACCCCACTGTCAATCCCTATGCAAGTACTCCTATCGGGACTCCAAAGATGTTTACAGATTTTCATGCTCAAGAACTTGGAGTCAATGAAAGATGAGCAGGCACAGAAGGAGAGACACGTAAGAAACGGCAAACAAGAGGGAAGCCGAAAATAGACTCCACGGGGGGTTTAGGGAACGCACTTCTCCAGCAGCCAGCCAGGAGCTCTCCCGGTCACGGCGGCATCATTACAATATAAGCTATAGAAACCCAACAGTGGGCCGCAAACAAGAAAGAGAAAACAAATTCTAAAAGAGAAAAGGATGCTTCGTAACGGGCATTTAAGAGCCCTAAAGAGATCGTCGTAAACTAGAAGGCAGGTCAGAATAAAACAACCGACATGAAACACTGCGAAGATGAAGGACAGCGAGGGGTGATACCTAAGCAGAAGCGCAGACTGCGCCGTGCGGGGAAAGAGCCCAGCACGTGTATAATTGGAGCCGGGACAGACGAGGAAGGAAATGAGACAGCTAAAATCGGAAGCCCTGAGAGCGAAGGAAAATGTAAAGCTGATGAGAGACCTCCAATCAAAAATTCAAAAAACCCACGTGAACTCCAGTCGGGATGAATAAGAAAGTGATTTTTTAAAAAAAAACAACAACACTTGAAGCACATCAAGGTAATCAGCTGAAAATCAGACGAAAACGGAAAAACATCTTAAAAACCCCTGGAGCAAAAACACTCATTTTCTTCACAAGGGCAGTCATTGGGTTGAGAGCCAGAGCTAACTTCTCAGCCGAGAAGACGGAATTTAGGAGATCATGGAGTGAACTCCTCAAAGGACTTTAAAAAAAAAATAACCCACAGCCCAGCCAGTGTGGCTCAGTGGTTGAGCATCACCCAATGAACCAGGAGGTCGCGGTTCGATTCCCGGTCAGGGCACAGGCCTGAGTTGCGGGCTGTAGGAGGTAGGGGCCGTGCAGGAGGCAGCTGATCAGTGATTCTCTCTCATCATTGATGTTTCTATCTCTCGCTCCCCCTCTCCCTTCCTCTAAAAAAAATCAATAAAATATGGAAGTAAAAATTAAAGTTTGTTGTTTTTTTCACTATTTGCTATTCTCAATTCAATCTGGGCATGTCCAGTTACAAATGATATGATTTGCATTTTGAACAATAATCTCACAGTAGGATAATCATTCTTTGCTTTTCTGTTTATTGCAAGTCACTGTGGAAATGAGTGTCATTCATTGCCCAGTTATTGTTAATGTTTTATCTAAATTTGTTTTTGTATAATTTATTCCGTTCGAGTCCCGGCAGCCAAACAGAGTGAAAAGATGCCTAAATTCCTTGGGAGAAAACAGCAAATGAGGCGATAAATAGATGATAAATCATAATTCATTTATTTAAACAATGTTTAGCACATAATAATGTACACTTACAGGAAATTTGCCGTTGCAATAATTCGGGTTTAAAGTATTGTCAGTGAGCCCGGCTGGTGTGGCTCAGTGGTTGAGCGGCGACCTATGAACCCGGAGGTCACAGTCCGATTCCCCATCAGGGCACATGGCCGGGTTGCGGGCATGATCCCAGTAGGAGGCGTGCAGGAGGCAGCGGTTCGGTAATTCGCTCTCATCATTGATGTTTCTATCTCTCCCTCCTTTTCTCTTCTTTTCTGAAATCAATAAAAAAAAATTTTTTTAAACAAACAAATAAAAAAGGGTTGTCACTTCGGGACTGAGTTTGACCCTTAGGGACTCGGTTCACCTCTGAGGGTCTTGGCTTGACTCTTCCGGGCTAGGCTGGCCCCTGGGGACTAGGCTGGCTCTTAGGGTCTAGGCTGGCTCTTAGGGTCTAGGCTGGCCCCTAGGGTCTAGGCTGGCCCCCTAGGGTCTAGGCTGGCTCTTAGGGACTAGGCTGGCTCTTAGGGACTAGGCTGGCTCTTAGGGTCTAGGCTGGCTCTTAGGGTCTAGGCTGGCCCCTAGGGTCTAGGCTGGCTCTTAGGGTCTAGGCTGGCTCTTAGGGTCTAGGCTGGCTCTTAGGGTCTAGGCTGGCCCCTAGGGTCTAGGCTGGCCCCCTAGGGTCTAGGCTGGCCCCTAGGGACTAGGCTGGCCCCTAGGGTCTAGGCTGGCCCCCTAGGGTCTAGGCTGGCCCCTAGGGACTAGGCTGGCCCCTAGGGTCTAGGCTGGCTCTTAGGGTCTAGGCTGGCTCTTAGGGTCTAGGCTGGCCCCTAGGGACTAGGCTGGCCCCTAGGGTCTAGGCTGGCTCTTAGGGTCTAGGCTGGCCCCTAGGGACTAGGCTGGCTCTTAGGGTCTAGGCTGGCTCTTAGGGTCTAGGCTGGCTCTTAGGGACTAGGCTGGCTCTTAGGGTCTAGGCTGGCTCTTAGGGACTAGGCTGGCTCTTAGGGTCTAGGCTGGCCCCTAGGGACTAGGCTGGCTCTTAGGGTCTAGGCTGGCCCCTAGGGACTAGGCTGGCTCTTAGGGTCTAGGCTGGCTCTTAGGGTCTAGGCTGGCTCTTAGGGTCTAGGCTGGCCCCTAGGGACTAGGCTGGCTCTTAGGGTCTAGAACATGGCTCTTAGGGACTAGGCTGGCCCCTAGGGTCTAGGCTGG